CCTACTACAGAAAACACACATACAAGCTGTTATGCTTTCACAATCTTACCCCCTTAGTAGCTTCTAAAATTACTTCTCACACATGAACACAACTCAGATAGAAAAATGTTTAGCTGGAGGGTTCCCTTATCCAATTACGGACAAGAACATGGACACCACGCATAAAATAATCGTGGTTTAAAAATTATTATCTTTATTTTCAAAAAGGTGTTTTTATGTGCAAATTAATCAGGCTTAAAGAAATGAGTCATGCGCTGTTAGCTACACTATTCCCATCCACTCAAGCGATTTTTTTGTTTACTTTTGGTGCCACGGAGCAGATAAATAGCATGCTTTGGTGTATATATCTAAATGAGAATTAGCATAACGTGTGTCAATGGTGTAGTGGCGGTTGTGTCTTGACCCTGTGGTTTTATACAGCTTAGATTATGGTAATGCGTTATAGTGCGCTAAGGTCTAGAGCAGTGTGGTAATGGCAGTTTACTCTGATGGTGATATAGCCCTTAATGCGCCTTTTACCAGAACATCATTAACACACACTTAAGGTCCAGGGAGAAATCTGCCTGTTGTTCTGGATGGTTGGGGACTACACCGACCGTGGCAGGGAATAAAATTAAAGGTCCTATATTACACAGAATTGTCTCTTGTGAGCTTTACATTATATTAGAATGCGGTTAATTCATCAAAAACTGACCTGGAGTTGTGTTTTGTTTCATTCACACGTGTTTGAGAAATCCTGCATTATTAGTCTACAAATGCTCCAAAATGCTCTGTTCCACACTGTGACGTCATAAAGAGGTGTTATTTATTTATTTATTTATTTATTTATTTAACAGCTCCATTTACCTTTACTTGTTCAGTAAAATTGGGTTTTCCAGGGCTGAAATTATCCAAATGATTTTTGTGTAGGTGTATGGAGTTTAAGAACACATATGACATGACATCACAAGGTGGAACAGAGTGTTTTCTGTTTGAGAGAAGAACTCATTTTAAATATGCAGGATTTCTGTGTTGAGTGTGAATGAAATGTGTGAATGAAACCAAACACAACTCCAGGTGTGTTTGTGATGAGGAAACAACATTATAACATAGATCAGAACGTAATCGGCCCTTTAATCTGTGGTTTTCAGATACCAGAATGTGATGATTTCATATTCTCAGTTTTCGAAATTAATTACATTGTATTAGGCCATGAAATATCTAAAAGGTAAATGCACAAATGTTGAACCCGATCTTTGCTATTAGTGACTTCATAACCAGTGTATTAAAACAGAAATCTGTATTTTAACAATATTCTGTTTAACTGTCCCCATCTTTATTATTGTGGTAATATAATTTGAATCTCAGCAATAAAGGAGATTAAATTACACCTTTTACTATCATTAAAAATAATAATAACTGAGTTCAGATTAAACAAGCAATTAAATTAAATATACGTTTACATTGAACATAATATGGTTTGTCATGTATCAGCATAAAATATTATTAGAATGCCTAATAATGACAAAACTATCAAGGTATGAAATAAATAGGGATCTGTAAATAAGAATCTAAAGTATAATCATAACAGAAGACTTAATGAACCTAGTCAAACTATTAAGAAGTCCTAATAAAATTGTAATTCAGTCTATTTAAAGTAGAATGTTATGATGTGTGAAACCCTTTTAAAGGGCCTGCACCTCATTTTCATCTCTTTCAGTTCAGAATAATTACTTTTGCGTCGCTTGGTTGTCTAAAAAGACATAATCTATGACACCCATGGATCATTATGTTATATTTAAATGACTTTGTAAAAGAAACAACTCCACTGTCTTCTGGTTTGGAAAAGCGTAAGGCCCAATCGGAGTCGACATCAGCGCAAACGTCATCACAATAAGTGGCACTCTGCTGGATCGTGCTTTGCAGATCATTCTAACCAACAGTAGATTTTTTAAAATTTGTGCCAGAACAACCGTAGACGCTGACGAATCCTAAATTATCTTAATTTGAGGACACTGGATCCAGAGGCAAAGAATGAGATCTCAAATACACAGGAAGAATAATGCAACAGAATTCAATACAGTCACTGTATAACATAGGTCAGCAATAAACCATAATTGAACATAAATCTAACAGATCTCCAACACATTTCACTTCTTTCCAAAGCAAAGCGACAATGGACCAGTGCCCGGACATTGTTAGTCAGCCTGAGGCGGCATCCATTTGCAGTGGAGAGAAGGGTGTGGCTCCACTGCCACGGCTGGACCGCTCCACCATAATGCACCTGTGATCACTGTAATTTGTCACAGGGAAAAAGCATAAATCATTCACAGCACAATGACGAGAAAAAGTTCAGCTCCATAACGTTTACGGACTTGCAGTGTTCAAATGTCGTATTGTGCAGCAAAATGAGTCTGGATGTGAAAGTTAAAAAGCTTTTGTTAAATGCCAAATACAAAATGGCGGCAGAAATGGTTAAAACAATGCATTTTCCATTTGCTTTAAATAACCTTTTCAAAGTGCATTATCTTCTGTATATTAGAGTCTGATCACATCAAATTCTCACTCCATACTTCACACTTGCCCTTTAATGCAAACGCTCTTTAAGACATTTCTTATGTTATGTAATAATTATAATAACTGCAATTGTGGATTTCCTGCACCCACCTGAGTCCCCATCATTCACAATTAGGCAATGCCGCAAAACATCGTAGATCAAATTTTGCTTCTAGTGTGTCTTTTTCCTATATAAAACACAGAGCAGTTACAAGTTTTGCGAGTAGGTTTTTGGAGTATGCATTTAAGAGTGAAATTCAGGGCCATTCGCTCAGAAAAAATAGATGGGGAACAAAGAGAAACAGAAAAACATTGTCCACTTTAAGGTTGCAAAAAGCATGGAAGGATGAAAAAAATGATCTTAAATAGGCACTGTGTCTTGCTGTAAAAAGTGTATAAAAACGGTCGGACACAGGCTCTCCACCGATTCGCTACTTCATGGGCTGATGCTAAAAGCTGAGGCGAGGATCTTGTGTAGTGTGCGCTTTATTAGAGACCAAATAACAGAAGAACAAGAAGAGACTATATTTTTCGAGTGTGTAGAGCCACGCACACACTCTCTCATGCACGAAGAATCCAGCTCAGCCGCATAAAGCACATATATAGCGGCAGGTCTAATCAGGCATAGTTGAAAATGAAAATGCCATTAGATTTTTAAAGTGCATAATTTCACATCTTTCTTCACCATTCATTTCTTCATTTTTCTTTTTTCTGTGCCTTTTCATGCCCACTACATGTGCTTTTATGGAAAATTACAACATTTAAACTCTTTTGGTCAGGGATAATTGCACAAAGAACCATTAGCAGTCTTCCAAGACCAGTGAGCAATTTGCTTTTTTTCTTCTTCTTCTCGCTTCTATTCTTAATCTGTACGAACATGCATCGAAAAGAGAGCATAATTGTAATTTAATTATCTGTCATGTGAGGGGGCAAAAGGCAGGTCAGGGCAGTTTGCAGTGCTGTCGTAAATAAATAGATTTAATTAAAGGAGCTAAACAAACAAGATGTTATAGCAAAAAAGGTTGTTTTTTCTATCAATTTACTTTGAGCAATTATAATCATGTTCAAAGTTTGAAAGAGCCACTCTGGCCCTCACCTGCAAGGCCACCTACTGGTCAGCAAATTGGCACTTCACTAAAGCCAGCGTGTGTAAGTTTGGCTCATGCGCAGAGGCTATGAGGGCTTCGGGAGAAAGCAGTGCTCTGTAATTACCGCCTTAAGATTACATTCAAATGAAATGTTACACTTCACTTGGTTTCTTCAGGTTGTTTGGGACAAAAATACTGGCAGAAATTAGCAACTGCATTTATCATAAACCACATTTAAAAATGTCCTGTACCCAGACTGAAGAGACGCTAGTTGTATTATCTGCAACAGAGAATGCAGGTTTTTAAGTGTTTATCATAACCTTGTGTCTCATCCAAGAAAATCTCAAGTGGATTTGCTTTGTGTCATACTCAAAATAGAAGCCTTTAAATGTTGATTATGTCTTACTGTTTTATGAGAATTTGTGCTCACATCCTGAAATAAACAATATGGCTAAGAACCACTGATTGGATCAATGGTCCATTTTATAATATGACTAATACTAAAAACCCCTAATTTAACTCATATAAAAGAAAATGAATATGTGAATAGGCTATAGACCATAAAGAGCGCTTGTCCTAGAAACCTTTGTCTATTCAAGTGTGCGACCTCTCCCCCGTGAAATGGATGAGAACACGGCAGGTGGGCATTATGGAGGGGAGCTAGAACTAATTCTAATAAACACAGATGAGGAAGGGACGAGAGACCCTGTGGATGCCTCCAGAAATACCCTGGACTTATAATGAATGCATAGGCTTGTTCAGACATTCAGCTATCAGCCACAGTCAAATTAAACTAAATTAATTTTTAGTTACTTTTTAGATGACCACCAGGTAATCTAAGGTAAGTAAATGTTACAAGATATATTTTTGGCCCTTACAAAAATATTGTTGTAGTGAGCTCATCATCTTCTGGGCCCTTGGCCACGGGCTCCAACTACAAGCTATTTCCTTCATTATATTCCACGTCAACAGACCTTGCGAGCATTTCATTTCACTAAAATAATCATGTTCTTGTAATAATCTGAGAGCTGGGTATTATAATAAGATATGTTTAAAGGTGTACTATAGCTTTTCTGGTGGAGTATGTGTCATCTGTCCCTGAGATGTTTACCTAGAATATTCCACAATATAATATTAAACATTTCCATGCAGACAAGCAGATTGCATATGTTAAATGCCATACAGTGGAACATTCCAGGCAAAGCAGTAAGATATTAATGGAAAACAGAAGGTTGCAGACCTCCGCTTGATAGGTTATATAGTCCACCTTTAAATTTTGGAAACGTGTCTTGCAATACCGCACATGTCCTGGTGACAAAATGATGGCGCTGTTTCAAACGGCGCTGAGGCTTCTTCTTCTTCAGCGCTGCACGCTTTGCAGCTAACCAAAACATGCTCAGCTAACAACCCACAACATGCACACCTAACAGCAGCACTTTAAAGACACTTTTCATTCTGTCAGGACCAGTTTAAAACTATTACCTACGGGGCAGCTCCACGTCTGTGCACTGGAGCTGTTTGGAGTGGATAAAAAGGCTGTTTTTCCCGGAAAGGTGCAAATTATTAATGAAAAGCCGGGAGCTAGCTCGAAGTTGAGTAGAAGCTTGAGACAAACAGCATCTTAAACTTGTTCTTCTAAAGGAGTAAGTAGCAACGGTTTGTGCTAAACGTGTTTGCTGCTGCAGTGTTATGTTGTTTTCTTATTAGCTTTTAAAATATTAGCTTCTCATACTGTTGTAAGGTCATTTTTGGTGTCACTATAATTAAAAATCATGTTCTAGTTAATTAATTCCCATATGTAACCACCACACCAATGACTAAGCTGCAAAGGCTGCGTTGCGTTGTTTAAATCAGTTATTTTGGTCTAATATTGATCCAGAGATGTCATACTTTTCTAACACCTGTTTCCTCCTCGCAGATGACAAGACTGGACCTGTGATGTAGTCGTCTCATCGCACATCGCAGTGTTTTTCTGACACTTTATCAGGGAGTGATGGAAGAGGACAGTCCGACACTGAAGCCCAGGCGCATTCAGAATCAAAACGTGGTCCATCGCCTGGAGAGGAGGCGGGTGTGTTCAGGCAGACCTGGGGCTCACTGGTACAGAGTGCGCTGCTTTCACCAGAACCTCTTCCCCAACTTCACTGTGGTCAATGTGGAGAAACCACCATGTTTTCTCAGAAAGTTTTCCCCAGATGGACGCTGTTTCATCGCCTTCTCCTCTGATCAGACATCCCTGGAGGTACCGTTAAAAAGGAAACAAATACATATTATGAGAAAGTTAGACAAACTTTATTGATTCACATGGGAAATTATTTGAACTCATGTAGCTCACACATCACAATATATTATAATAATAACAGAGCAAAATTATAAATGTTCATATCAAATTCTAAATAATTGGAAAATTTGCAAGAGACTGGTTTCAAATAATTCACAATTGTATAAATGTATATGCCCAAGTAAAAATAAAAAATAGAACTACCGGTATAGTAATACAAATATATCTCAGTTATATACAGGAGGTTGTAAGAATTATTTGACAGACATTGTAGGTTATAGAATAACTAAATATTAAATGGAGCAGTGAAATATAAGTAAGACCAAGATAATTAACTAAATAATAAGTAAAAACACATATATATTTATTGAGATTTCATTAATAGCCAAACTTTATGCAGCAAAAGTCTGGAATATGTTTATCAGCGTATTTTATAATGACTGGATTCAGCATAATGTAGCTTGGACCTTTATTTTTAGTTTCGCAGCACTGCAGCAAGGGACAATTTGTGTTTAATCAAGTATTAAATAATAGCAATTGTATTTTGATAATCATTACCTGTATAATCCAGGTAATGATTATCAAAGATGATCTCAAAAGACCTTTTATGTGAAAAACAGCGGCATTATTAAATCAAATTTGTATGTATTTATTTCTCATTTCATTTCATTGGCATCAATTTAAAGCAAAAAAAATCTGACAATGAACATAAATGCATGTTCCAAACACGTGCCTTGTTATTGCTGGCATGAACAAAAGAAAGAAGAGGAAGATAATCCTTATGAGTCCTGCTCCTCCACAGATCATTAAAATAAACATTTCTTTCATCAATAATGCACTTTATTCTTAAATATAAGTAAAAATTCTCAATTACCAGATTTCAAGTTTTAATTGGTTTAAAAATGTATATTTATTTGGTTTCAAAAGATTTTTGGCAAATCTTTTAAAATAATAATTTGACTAGTTGACTAACTGAGAAAATAAATGATTTACTAGCTGACTAATAAAATTGTTATTTCATCAAGAACCAACAACAGTAACATGGAAGGCAATGTTATTTGTACAGCACAGTTCGTACACCAAGTAATTCATAGTGCTTTAAAGAATAAGAAAGAGATTAAATCACAAAATAAATAATCATTATAAAATTAACATTAAAAGAAAAGAGAAAAGAATGAGGAATAAAAACATCAGTCCCATGCACAGCTAAACAGAACCAGGTTTTAAACATAGTCAAAGTACAGGCCTGTCTCACATTTTCAGGAACTGTTCCATTTTTTACCTGAACACTTCCATGAAAACACCTTTGTTCACAGATTTATGAATACCAGGGCTGCCAGGCGGCTCAGGACCTGCTCCGAGGTCAGGAGGGAGAGACTCTGCTCACAGCCAATGACCAGCGCTCGCTCAACATCCGCGGGCGTCTGTTTGAACGCTTCTTCTCTCTGCTCTATGTCACAAATGTGGCCTCAAATGGAGAGCACCTGAACAGGGAGTGCAGCCTTTTCACTGACGATTGTCGCTACGTCATCGTGGGCTCAGCCGTCTACGTACCAGAGGATCCACCGCCGTATTTCTTTGAGGTGCTTCAACATCCACTGCTTTCATTCACTTCTCTTTTGGAAACTTTAGTTTAAAGCTATTGTATTGATGCTTTACAGTGACATTGCGCGGGGGGTGTTCTATAATGCATTTCTATTGGCAGAATGTTCAGCAGTTTCCATGGAGACACAATGCACATTAGCACACACAGACAAAAAAGATAATCTGAAAACTTAAAGAAAAATAAATAAATCAAAAACCTGTGATCAATACGAGCGTTCATGGTCCTGTAGGTGTTTGATTTTCAACAAAATAGTGAGAGCGACTGACTGAAATACTGTTGTCTAACGCTAGCTTTTGATTGCAATTTTATGTGAGAGACGTGTTTAAAAGCAAAAAATCATCTCTCCTGTTGCAGTTTCAACCAAATCTCTTTTTGGTCAGTTGTGCTCAGATTAAGCAGTGCTTTCAGTTAGCTTCACAACCCCAGGGAATGTTGATGACAGCAGCTGCAAAGTGTCAATGTAGACTTTTGTCAAAATTGCTTTAAACCTGAGGTGGCAGATAGATTGAAAAATGGATATCATTTGAGATATGCCAAATTAGAGTATTGAGTATATTGTCTATAGTTTTGGAATTATTAAAATACCTCAAAATGAGACCGAAAACAACTAGTGTAATCTCCCAAACAAGAGCATGAAGTAATATTTCTAGCATTTTATGGTTAATTTTATGTTCCATTTACATTTTGACCAATACTTGAACCTCAACCAAGACATTTACAGACACATTTTAGCATATTCCTGAAACATTGTTAAAATATTGTCATTATCATTATCAAGATGCGAGGATGCAAAAGTCTGAGAAGCACACATAATTACAAATTTTACCAATAGAAACTACAGTGTTATTTCGTAGGTATGTGTTTTTTTTCTTACATGTAAGTTTGATAGAGGCTGAAAAAGGTGAAACCTGTTTTCAAACGAAGAGCAGAATTTCTTTTTTTAAGTGGAAAAAAAAGATGTTGATTTAATGTGATTTAAACTTAATGGCCAGTTACGTTTGTGGTCGCACCAGTTACCGGCCTGCTGCTGTGAAATAACAAGCTTCAACACTTCTCCATTTTCATAACATTTATTGGTTGTCAGGAGTAACAGTGATGGTCAATTTATTAGAGTTTATTAAAGATTTATTAGAGTTTCTCATTATCAATTAGTAATAACAAAAAATCTTGACTTGTTTACACCAGTTATGCCTGTCACTATAACAAGTTGTAAAGTTTTTTATATATATATATATATATATATATATATATATATATATATATATATATATATATATATATATTATATATTTATTTATTTATTGCTGAAGAAAATATTGACGATAATATTGAAACTAATTTAAGCCACTGACACAAAAACCCTTAACTCCCCAAAAAACTATTGTAAATGTGTAATATTGTTAAAAAACTTGAGCTACAATAAATAAATGCCAGAACAAAACAAAAGTTATAATGAGTCATAGGGATCGTCTCCTACCTCCAGTCTTTACGCGAGCACAGGTGTGGGGCGTAGAGCTCTGACCAAGAGGTGTGCCGTCCTTGAATATCAGGTGGAGTGGAGCAGACTGAGGGCATTGTGTGGCGCGTTCAGTGAATTGCCAGAATCGTAAAAATAAATGTCAAACTAGCTCACTGAAAAACATTATGCCTAACATACTCAAAGCACAAAATGCCTTCTTTAATTTAAGAAGATTTGTATGATAAATGCACAACATCTACATGTTCGTGCACTGTCCAAATGCCTTCCCGCAGCAGAGCACCACCCCGCGCTCACTCCCTGTATCGGTTCAGCACTGCTCTACAGTTTGGTTTGATCATGATCTGTGAAGTGTAACTGTAGTTGCAATGATGAGCGTCTTTGTACAGGCCTAACAGTTGGTTTTATCCATGCACTGCGGTAGAAAATAATGAATTAGAAAAGTGTAGGTGTTTAAATCAGCAGTACTTATGGTCAAGATCATTATATAGTTGAGTCTTAATGCTTAGTTCTCAAAATCTAATTTATTCTTCTAGATTTTCATTTGAGATAGCCTTTTAGTAGATTGATTTATTGCTCTTGTACTGTGACAGAATTAAGTAGCCATAGTCTACTTTTTCACACTATGTGGTATCGGTATCAGTGAGTACATTAAGGCCAAGTATTGGATCGGATCCCCCAAAAATGATATTGGAACAACACTAATAAATATACAATATGTCTTTTAGTAGAAGAAAACACAAAGTTTCTAAATATATATTGCGCCAGCTTTTATATATTGAACGCTAAGTAAGTCCATATAGTAATCATCATGACAGGCTTAACACCAATCTAATCTGACTTTCATGTTTCTATAGGTGTACAGGAACAATGAGTCTGTGACCCCCAATCCGCGCTCCCCTCTTGAGGACTACTCCTTGCACATCATTGACCTGCACACGGGGCGCCTCTGTGACACCAGATGCTTTAAGTGCGACAAGATCATTCTCTCTCACAACCAGGGTCTGTATCTGTACCGCAACATCCTGGCTGTACTGTCAGTGCAGCAACAAACCATCCATGTTTTTCAGGTGAGGATTCCAATGTGCACATATGTGGTATAGTTTGAGTTTGTTGTTTTTTTCACACCACATTTAAAAGTTTTATATTACACAAAATTACTCTTGTGAGCTTTAAGTCGTGTTAGAATGCTGTTACCTCCTCAGCAACAGCAGGAGTTTTTTTCATTCACACATATTTGACTTATCCTGCATCATTAGTCTGTGTATATCTCCAAAGCTCGAAATGCTCTGTTCCTATGTAGTGGTAGTTTTCAATTTAACAGCTACCTTTTACCTTTTGTTCAGTAGAGATTGGGAAATCCAGGGCAGCGAGTTTAAAAAACCTGTGTGGGCACAAGACATCACAAGTCATGAACTCGGTCTAAATATGAAGAGTTTGTGTGTTAAACATGAATGAAACTAGACACAACTCTCCGTGAGTTTTTGATGAGGAAATGTGTTTGTATTTAGTTTGAAAGGTTGAAATACACTCACACACAGTTCTTCCCAAGTATCACTTCAACCTGATAGTTAATGTGGGCAAACAATATGGCAAAGACGTGATGAGCTGCTTCTAGACTAAAAAGGGGTTAGGGTTATGTTGTAAATGATCAATAAGTCACCTCATAGTTTTCTTACATTACAGGAGTCAGGAGTCTCTCCATGCCCTGACTCATTGGCCTTGTTTGTCTGAGTTGTAGGTGACTCCAGAGGGGACCTTCCTGGACGTACGGACCATTGGGCGCTTCTGTTATGAGGATGACCTGCTCACTCTCTCAGCTGTTTACACTGAGGCCCAAGCAGAAAGCCAGCCCGGGTTTCCTCGCCTTTACACAGACAAAACCATCAACTCCCTCAAACACAGACTGCTGGTTTACTTGTGGAGGAGAGCCGAGCAGGACGGGAGCGCCACTGCCAAGAGGAGGTCAGTCTGTGTGCGAAAAGTGCCTTTCTGTTGAACCATTATAATGTCTGACATAATATTCTCATTGTATTCTTGTGGAAACTTCATTTTCATTTTCTCTTTGACACTTGATATATCAAACTGCTTGATGTCTTTCAATTTTTCAATTTCATAACATCTGCATGGTTCCTGTGGGTGGAAAATGTTAATACAGCACCCTACTAAGTCAAATCTTGTCAAATTGCTTTTTTGCCATGATGGATGTCCTGCTTTTATCTAATACAATAATTAAGAAACTTTTTTTTTTTTATTCTTGTAACGCATAATGCATTTCTCCTCAGTTGCGTTTTAAAGACACACAAGGTGGAATACAGTATTACACTATGTATGGTATTACTCTAATATGTGTTTGGGTATTTTTTATAGCAAGGAGAAATTCAATTTTGTCAACTGGACAAAAGTTTGATGCAGATGGGTTTTATAGTATTTTGTTGTTAGTTGTATCCCTGAAGTAATCCAAATTATTCTAGTGGCGGTGTATGGAGTTTAAAAACACTGTGGAACACCTTCTACACAATGTGGAACAGAGTGTTTTCCACTGGAGAGAAGAACTTTACTATACTATTACACTGTGTACGAAATTACTCTAGTATGTTTTTGGCATAGATTGTTCTAAATAGGAAGTTCACAAGCGGCTCTTCCGGCTCCTACTGACCCTGGCTCCCCCTGGTGCCCTTCTCTCTGTAACTGCTGCTGTGAGCCTTGTCATTTTGATCTTAATAATGTTCGTATTAACCCGCTCTACATGATCCTGGTGGGATTTTTTCCGCTATTTTGTCCATCAAAATAATCCTATTAATAATATAGAACCTGCCTCCAAATTCTTTCCTGTAACTATTACCACCGCGGGCTTCATTTGAGTGTCGCTGAACACTGTGGGTGACGTCACACTCGCTTAGTCTATGCTGTTTCGGTATTTTTGTAGTATTTTGTTGGTAAACTGAAAAAAGTAAATGAATCCTGCACCTGAATCTATGTCACTAACTAAACTTTCTTAAATTAATCTGCTAATTGACATCCCTAAAAATAAAAATGCTCAATATAATGTCCGTCACACATTTTCATATGTACTCACCCAGCATGCATCTGTGATCTGAGCATGGCAATCGAAAACAAGAGTCAACATGTCGTTCCACAAATGTGTTTCTTTCTGTGTCTGTGTTTTTCTCACCAAAAATTTACCGGTAAGTTGCGATTGAGGTTACAGAAAACGGTAGGTAGCAGATGGTCTGATAATTAAAGCTCATTAAGCAAAAATGACTCTGAGAAACCTTTTCGCACATCAGAAGAGTATTTTATCAGCATCTTTACAGACTCAAGTCAGACGGAAGGAACATTTTAACTAGTGTTTATAACGGTGGGCTTAACAACATCCGTCTTTGGACCGTACAACTTATAAATCAGTTACTTATTTAAAAGAAAATAATAAAAATAATAAAAAAGGAACAATAATATCAAATATATTAAAATGGCATGTGGTAATGGCTGCATCAACCTCAACATATTTTCTTCTTTATACATTTCAATTATATACTCATTAATATGCTGCTAATCAGGAATTTGTATTTTTCTGGAAGTATTCAGAGCAAAAAATAGTCAGTTTCTATGTACTTCAATAGAATTACCTTTGCCATGTTAGAGTGTGCCTATAAAAGTGCATGTTCTGCTTTTATCTAATACAGTAATTAAGAAATGCTATTTTGTTTGGATTATTATAACATCGTGCACTTCTCATCAATCAGGTTTCAGTGACACTTCTACTGATTTGTGAAAAGTGTACTACAATATCACTCTCTATGTATTTGTAAATAAAGTAAATGCTCCTGAATCTAAGTTCCTAACTAAACATTCTTATTATTAAATCAATTAAATTAATTTTTGTGTAACATATGGGAAAGTATTCAGAGCAAAAAATAGTAAATATTTATAGCTCTATATAAAATCACTGCACTTTTTCCAAGTCAGGACTCAAGTCTCATTGAAGAGCTTACCTCACCAAATCATTTTAAAAGTGTTCATATTTTATAACAGAAATTTTAAGTGGTCACATTTGGCAAAGTAATCAGTTCTTTTTATTCTGTCATCTCTTTTTTTTTTCTTGTGTTTTACCCACATTTTGTCTCCTTAACTCCAGCTTGTCTCCTAATTTAAATCTCCCTGTGGGCTCAGATTCTTCCAGTTTTTTGATCAGCTGAGGCGTCTCCGGATGTGGAAGATGCAGCTCCTGGATGAGCATCACCTCTTCATTAAATACACCAGCGAAGACGTGGTCACGCTCAGAGTCACCGACCCCTCACAGGTAGCCCACCCTTCGCCGCCGACTGTCCAAATTCCTCCCTCTGCTCTCTTTGTTGCCTGCCTGGGAGCGCTTTGTTGTCCGCGCCGTACGATAAGGATTCCTTCTCCGGGTCTCCAAGGACAACCGTTCCCCCCACAAAGGAGCACAGTCGTCTCCTCATTCACACAAACAACAAGTAGATCTAATTAATGTTCATTTTAGCCACAGGAAAGCTCCGAGTATGTTAACAGCTTTTGGCTATTTCCATCTTTCCAATTAGGTACATTATTATCATCAGCTTATAGACTCTGATAAATACAAATTGAATGTATAAATTGAAAAAATGCGTGTCTAGACTTTGGTTTAAACCTGTGCAGATGGATATGGAAGAAACCCCCTTCTTTTTTTTTTTACCCTTTTCCACAGCCTTCGTTCTTCGTGGTGTACAACATGGTGTCCACAGAGGTGTTGGCGGTCTTCGAGAACACTTCAGATCAGCTGCTGGAGCTTTTTGAGAATTTCTGTGACCTGTACAGAAACGCCACTTTGCACAGTCAAGCCGTGCAGTTCCCCTGTTCAGCCTCCTCCAATAACTACGCACGCCAGGTCCAGAGAAGGTACTGCCTTCGTGCAGCTAATTGTACGTTACTAAGACGATTATTATTATGTTTGGTTTCTCAAAAAATATTAAAATGGACAATGGCCTAAAGTGCTCATTGATCAGTATTTTTATTTTATTTATTTTTTTATCAGGACGAGATTTCAGCTTTACAACTTGTCATTGAACTACACAACCATTGAAATATTTAATTGTCCAACCAGTCTCTGCTGGAACTGTATTTGGCTTTATTGGCAATTGGCACTACGTTCAATACTTTCAATATTTAATCATACACCATATGGATGTGTGGGTTTGACTTAGGCAAGGTCAGAGGTTACTTTCTGAATGACAAAGGAAATGGCTGCAGCAAATGTCAGAGAGGATTTGAAGATGTGCGTTATGAAGGGAGGCAGATCCACTGCAATTGCCTGGAGCAGAAGGAAGCCATTTCAGGACTTAATCTGGAAAAGAAGAGCGACATTAAGACAGTGAGCACAGCTCAAGGAGCTGTGATTTAATTTGCCCGTTGGACTCACAGGTATAGGTGACAAAATCCTTGCAGGGAGGTACGAAGAGAGCAGGAGAAGAGGGGGGAGGAGAAAGAGGAGAAAATAAAGCATAGTTTGAGCAAGGAAAAGAGCTTGAAATTGGATTTTAGAGTGGGGAAAATTGAGGTCGAAAAGAACGAGAGGAGAAATTGAAAGCTGGCAAGTGCATTCAGCAAACCAGATTTTGTGGCTTATGTAGCTGGCTAGCACAAGTCTAGTTCACAGGTGAAGAGATGCACAGCCCAGCAAAAAGGAAGCAGCATCTCTACAAGAATGGAAAAAGAAACTCAAAACAAGTTCAAAAGATGTCTAAAAAATACACATACCTCTATAACTACGAGTCTTTTAGAAGGATTGGATTTTAAAGGTTTTCAAAGACTCCTTGTACATCAAAAGGTTTACTATAATAGCTATGAGCATCTCGTCTCGTCACTGCATTGAGGAATGGTAAGAACTGTTAGGATTGTGAGATTTGAACTGTTATATGTGAATAGCAGTAGGGAATGTGCATGTGACCTCTGACCTCTACAGTTCTCCTCTTGTATGTTGGTCAGATTTAAAGACACCATAGTAAATGCCAAGTACGGTGGGCACACGGAGGCAGTGAGGAGACTCTTGGGTCAGCTGCCCATCAGCGCTCAATCTTACAGCAGCAGCCCATACCTGGACCTCTCTCTCTTCAGCTATGACGACAAGTGGGTGTCTGTGATGGAGCGGCCACGCACCTGTGGAGATCACCCCATCAGGTACCCACCCTCTCTGTCTCATCTCATCAATGTTTATGCTCTAATTTTCATAAATAATAAATAAATCATCAATTATTCATGATCAGTCTTACTAGTACTGTGTAAACGTAAATATGACAAAACTGAATCCTTTTCTTTATCACACTTTTTATGCATTTGGGAAGAGGACAAATTAAGCTCTATTGTTTTATGAGTGATGAGACTTGAGTGTGTTCCTACAGATCAGAATGTTTTTCTATTGTTATTTTAAGTATTCACTGTCTGGTCTTAATTTTTTGCATTCATCTTTTGGGGATTATTATTATTTGTCTTTGATTTCCTCATTTTGGTGACTAAGAGCAATCGCAGCAATGTTTTTGATACAAAGAACAATGTATTTTAAACTGTATGGTGTTTTCTGGTTTATGTTCAAATGCACATAATCAGTCAAGTAGTGTCTACAAATGTGGAAATGTTTGAATAACAAACAGCATGAGTCTGTGCCATGTTTTCAGCACTGTTCCAACATGTTTTAGAACCTGATGTACTGTACCTTTAACACAAATCTTCCATTTGTCCCATAATTTCCTCCAAACAGATTTTACGCCAGGGATTCAGGACTGTTGAAGTTTAAGATCCAGGCTGGTCTGCTGGGACGTCCTGTGAACCATGCCGTGCGGCGCCTGGTGGCCTTCACCTTCCACCCGTTTGAACCCTTCGCCATCTCCGTCCAGCGCACCAACGCTGAGTATGTGGTCAACTTCCACGTGAGACATGTGTGTGCGTAGTGTGCAAACCCACTGGGCCCTGTACATCTCAGAGTGATAAACAAACATGGCGGCGTGAAGCTGGGGCTTGTTCTTCTGCAGAAGAATCAGTGGCTCTCGTCCTACTTTCTCTCGACACAAACCACAGTTCTCTTTTGCCTTCCATCAAACAGTGGTCACTCAACACCAGCCTCCTCCCTCCAGCAGCAAGCCAGCAATTCTGCCTTTGCCTTTCGTCTCACCACTTTTCCTCCTCTTCCCCCCTTCCTCGGCAGAACAAAGAGGAGCTGTAGGAAGGAGAGGCTGGAATAAGTGTAAATGGGGATGTAGAGAGAGTGATTGATGTGCCACGGAGGTGGGAACTGCAGGTAGCCGGACCTCTCAGAAGGAGCAAAAGGTGCTTTCTTTCTCCAGCGTGCACTCAAAGCTGCACATTCAGAATGACTTCTGCGGTTGGTCCAACACCAGCTCGCCACAAAACTTTTCCATAAAAGCAGAGTTCATTTTATATTGTACAGTTTTATACTTTTTTTAAAATATGTCTAATATTATATTATAATAAACAGTTGTGTACATGTTTTTATTAGAGTTGCATCCATGCACACGGTTTCTTTAAAATACTGAAGGTGTCTGAGGTAGTACATTTTATGGGTGAATAATTTCTCCCAGTAAATACATTTTATGCTTTGATAAACACTACTACAGATGAAGTGGTAACTTGCCTTGACAGAGATCATGTCTTTGTGCTTTCATTAGCTCAGCTCAGTTACCACTGATATTCTACTGCTGTTGAAAAAACTGCAGTAGAGACTCTTCTTGTCATGAGCGTGTACGATCTGTTTTAACAGTCTTGCCCGTCCCAAAGCCAGGCTCTGTACAATCTTGATAGACAAATTTATTACACATGAACAAAACAATTGACAGCATCCTCAACCCTATTGTCAGTTGATTTATGAAATTATGAAACCCCAGGACTTCCTTTACAACAAATGAATTGGTGGAAATAACCTGCATCTTCAATCACATTACATCTGCCATCCCACCTCTCTGCTGTGACACAATATCAATCCATAATGGGACTGTTTTACACATAAGGTCCATCTGTTGTGAACACTACAACCACTGGACATCTGTTCCACCACGATGTGTCATCTCAAACACATTTCAACAAATATGCAAATGTAAGTAACACCCCAAAAGGTGCTAATAGATCAACGAATAGGTGAACATGCATTATACAGCCAGAGATGGTGGGAGGGGGGCTGTGAGGGGTCGGGGCAGTGTGGGAGGCAGGTGCTGGGAGGATTAAGTGTACTCTTGCCCCGCCGGTTATAGCAGGCTTTAAAGCATAGGGGTAAAACAACAAAAAGAAAACTGAAAGATGGAATAATTGTCATAGCTGTTTTACAGGAGGGGACACAACAGGAGATGTGAGGAGAAGAGGAGAGTGGCTGTGCAGCTGTGTAGCCTTGTATTTCATTAAGTAAATACTATCTGGTAGATCGAGGCTTAAGGAGGCCGTGTTATGTCAGTGCAGTTATAATGGTGTTTGTGTAAGCTGGAGTTGACAACATGCTGGGATAATCGGCTAATTACAGGAAGAGCATGGCGCAAACTGCCAGACCTACATCTACAAGACCCTATTGTCAAACAGCTCCTATAGAAAAACCTTTTATCCAATGCTGTAACGCACCAATGTAGAAGCCTATTTTAACTAGGCGATGCGTTACAAAAAATATATATTCTCTTCCTCTTTATCAAAAAAGTGTTTCCAAATAGGCCTGCCACGATAACACATTTTGAAGTGTGATATATTTGCTAAAGAAAAGACTGATAGATTGATAGATAGATGAATGATAAATATATAGAGATAGATAGAGATAAATGATAGATATATAGATAAATGATTGGTAGATGGATAGATTATTGATAGATGATTGATAGATAAATAATTGATAGATAATGGTAGAGAGAGATAGATAATAGAGATATAGAGATAGATAAATGATTGACAATTAAATGATAGATATATAGGGATAGATAAATGGTACAGATAGATAAATAATAGATGATAGATATATAGAGATAGAAAAATGATAGATAAATTGATAGAGGTAGATAAATGATATATAGAGATAGACAAATAATTAATAGATTGTCAGTCAGACAAAAAGACAGATAAATGATAGACATAGAAATAGATAAATGGTATATATATTGATTATGATTGACAGATCTAGATAAATAATAGATATATACTAATATTGAAACTGACACAGTAAACCTAAAGCAGGGTTATCTCCTCAAAAACTCTTCTAAATATACAATATTATAAAAGAAAACATAAACTATGAATAAGAACAATGAAATGCTAATTAGTTTGTATCTATAGAAAGTCATAGAAATTACTCATTCAAACCTCAGCTGCTCCGGTCTTACAAAAACTTACCAACACAATCCCCACTAGCTTGTTCCATTTTTCATATATTATACAATAACTTGATATAATTATTGTGACAGGCCTATTCCCAAACCTTCAGAAGCATGTATACTTAAAGATGCACATAGTAACTTTTCGGGAGGAGGTCTCCATGGAGATGTTAATGATTTGGTTTAAATTATCCACTGTTTGATACTAAACTAATTTGTCTTGCATTTTTTTCAAATACAGGTGTTATTTATTGCTAAAAATTATCTTTAAACATCCATTTGTATCATGAGTGGGGTCACCTCCTCATAAATCTAACCTGTCATTTTGTTTGCAAGTCTCCATCGAGATTCATAACTTTATGGCGATACTGTGGAACATTTTAGGCACATCTCCATGTAGACAAGCACGTGATGGACCCTTTACCAGACAAGCTGCATAGACTTAAACTTAGACAAACTTTATTGATCCACAAGGGAAATTATTTTGGATACAGTAACTCACACATCACAATAAATATAATAACAAAGAGCAACAATATAAATTGTAATAATAAATTCAAAATAAGTAGCAAAAATAACAAGAGAATAGTGCATCTTTAAGACAAGATACTTACACTTGTTGCTCATTTGTATTATTCTGTAAGGTGTTTTATGGGGAAAGCATTTGACAGCTTTGAGACATGCCTATTTCATATTCTTAAAACCATAGGTCAGTTGTATGTAAGGGTGAAGGGGTTTATACCTTTCATAGCCAATTACAGTTCACGTGGTTGAAAGCATGCAGGTTTTTATTATATTTAAAGGTACTACTATTGTACTATTCACTATTCAAACTGACTACCTCTCACAGGGTTCCAGTTTTAAAGGCTGAGCACAATTGTACCTCACTTTACTGTGGTTTTCATCAGTCTTAAGGATATGTTTCAGCCTCAGCCTCATTTGAGTGTATTGTGATATTGTCTAGTGATTTTAGACTGCTCGGGATGTGATAAAGAATATTAACCTGGATATACAGTTCACATAGGGCGCCAGTGATGAATCGGCTAATAGTGATGACTAAAAGAAAAACTATGTTTAAAAAACTCAATGACAATATATGAAAATACCTTTTTTATGACAAGAACAGTAATAAAAAGTTTTAATAAAGAAAGAATTTTGATAGTTCATTAACATTCTCTATTCAGAAGCCTTCACTTAGACTTTGACAAAATTTACTGATCCACAAGAGAAATTATTTGGACACAGTAACTCACACGTCACAATATAATACAATAACAAAGAGCAACAATATAAATGGTAATAATAAATTCAAAATAAGTGGCAAAAAAGCAAGATTTTTTTCACAGTTTTTCAACCTTTTATTTGTTTGATAATGTATATAAAAAGTCTAAATGCAGGTTACAATAGGAATAATCGTTTGACTATTTGTCCCATGGAAAAATTAATCACTGACTATTTGAAAATAACTATTACAACTATTACAATAGCCAATACCAAGGTTTATTTTTTATTCTTCATCTGGCATAATATAGGTCATGTATTGGTTCAAATACGCTCTTACATTTTTGCATTTTTTTGTTTTTTTAGGGTGTCTGCTGTCTGTTTTAAATCTCCTCCATGGGCTGATATGTTGGTTCAGCTGACGACTTGGACTTTATTTGAGCGTTTTTGCCATAGACCAGTCAAAGAGGGCACTGCTGAAAATGTAACTCCACCGCTCTGTAATGGGTTTGTTGTGAAATAGGGCTGGGAATACTAGTTTGTTGCCATTTCGAATTCGTTTGTTATTTGGGGGAAAATTATCAAAAATATCGACCACTCTGGTTTCCAAACTATCAGAATCATCCATGAAAAAATCCATATTAGTCCACCTCTAAAACAAATTACTCAAATTATTCTCACTGCTTATGGCTCCCACCATTTTGAAACCACTAGTGTACTGTGTTGTATTATTATTATTATAGGCATACAAATGGATTTTCTATTTTTCTTCTTTCAGTGTGTTAATATGAAAAAAGAAGATGTAAAACACACACACACACAGCTGAATTTCAATATGCCCTGACAATATTACCAATTTTACCAATCAGATTTCCCCCAATTCAATTAAGTGGCTTCATTTTCCCCAAGGTGAAACTCAAACAGGCTATTACAAACCAGTGTCATTACAGTATTCTACAACAGCACTCTATACTGCTCATACTCCTAATTTAACGTGAATATTGTGGTACCTTTTTGAATTAAAAGCAAACTCACCCATGTATTTCCGCCATTACATGCCTGTCCCAGTTTTACTTGGAAAATGGCCACACAGAATGATGAAGCTGCACTTACCACTTACATGTAATTCACCTGATGCTTCTGAGCACAATAACAAATATGTAGCATCTGTTGTACTGCTAACAATCAGGTAAACCCGAAGCCTTCTTCCTGACCTTGGTTGCTACGGTAACCCGGTCTTTTCTAATTGCCGTTGTCCTGGCAACAGCACAACCAATGTGATCCAGAAAAGGCCACGATCCTGAGTGTTTCCTGTCGCAGAGCAGCCTCTCAATAACACACGCCGACATGTTTAACAGAGATGCACTAAAACATATGTGGGAGAAATGGGAATATAATGGGTAGTTTTGTTATGTGCAACTGTAATATTGGACAAATTTGAACAAAATCTGTCAAAAGAGCCTAAAACTGTCACATAATGTCTGAATAAAATAGCCACATTTGTTTATTGCTTTACCAAAAGGACTAATGTACATATCTCCAGCATACTAATGTCTAAACATAGTTGGATATAGTATTTACACAAACTGATATAGCAGATATGTTTGGTTTGCTACTCTCTTTGGCACAGGTTTTGTTAAATGTTTTGGTAAAATGTTTCAAGAAATTGCCAATATCATATTACAGTAGCATACATTAATGTGATTATTTTTATATATATTTCAATTCGTTTAAAACATGTTGCTCTATGCTGTTCAGTGTGTGGTTTATATATAAGGCGCTATTAGTTTATCTTCAGATTGTAGGCAGAAGGCCTTAATGAAAATGGCCTTGGTGGATTTGCCATAGTAGATAGTACAGACTCTGAGGGCTTTTAGCTTCATTATTAGCATCCATTAACCTGCTGTACTCTGGGCTGTTCAGCAGGCCGTG